AACAGGGTAAGTTGGAGAAACCCTCCGGGGCGATTGGGGCCCCGCAGCCACCGCTCGCACCCGCTGATGGTGCCAAGCAATCAGGGCCGGCACCAGGCGCCAGCAGCAGGTGCAAGTGGCGGCTCCAGCACCAGCTGTGGGTACAAGTGGGGCCAGTGCTGGCAGTGGGTGTAAGCAGCAGCTACGGTGCTGGTAGTGGGTGCGAGCAGTGACCCCAGCGCCAGCTGTGGGTGCAAGCAGGGCCATTGTCATCAGCGGGTGCGAAAGGCAGCTGCTGGCCCCGATTGCCCCTCAGGAGCAGGGGGAGATGGAGAAGCTCTGAGGGGTGATCAGGGCCGGCAGCTGCTGCTTGCACCCACTGACAACGCTGAACAATCAGGGCCGGCATCAGGCGCCAGCAGCGGGTGTGAGCACCAGGTGGGACCGCAGAGCGCGTGAGCAAAGAACTTTCAGTAACCACCAGAGGCTCACCCTGATGACAGTGTCCGGTGCCCCGCCTTGGTCTGGCGCCCCCACTCACCTGCTCTACTACCCCACTGCGGCCAATGCCCGCCATGTTCCCTGCTGCTGAAGCCTGCCATGTTCCTCACTCTGCCACCTGCTGCTGAAGCCCACCATGTTCCGTGCGTGCCCCTGGTGGTCAGCGCACACCATAGTAATCGGTTGTTCACCCCCCACCCCCGTTCGGTCTATTTGCATATTAGGTTTTTATATATATAGATAGCTAACACATTCAGTGCTTACCCTGTGCTTTGTATACTAATTTACTTTTCCGATCGCCCCTCAGGAGCAGGGGGAGATGGAGAAACCCTGAGGGGCGATCAGGGCCGGCCCTGCTGCTTGCACCTGCTGACAGCGCCGAGCAATCAGGGCCGGCATCGGGCACCAGCAGCGGGTGTGAGCACCAGGTGGGACTGCAGTGCGCATGAGCAAAGAATTTTCAGTAACCACCAGAGGCTCGCCCTGATGACAGTGACCGGCGGCCCACCTTGGTCTGACGCCCCCGCTCACCTGCTCTACCATCCCACTGCGGCCAACACCCGCTATGCTCCTCCTCACTCTGCCACCTGCTGCTGAAGCCTGCCATGTTCCGCGCGTGCCCCTGGTGGTCAGTGCACATCATAGTGACTGGTTGTTCCGTTGTTCCGCCGGTTCAGTCTATTTTCGTATTAGGTTTTAATATATATAGATAGCTAACACATTCAGTGCTCACCCTGTGCTTTGTATACTAATTTACTTTTTCCTAGAGCAGTGGTTCTCAACCTTGGCTGCACATTAGAATCACCTGGGAATCTTTTAAAAATCCTGATTTCTGGGCCTCATCCCGGTGAAAACCACTGCCCTAGAGCAGTGGTTGGCAAACTGTGGCTCGCGAGCCACATGCGGCTCTTTGGCCCCT